ATGGGAAGTAAATATTTATGACTAGCTACACCACATCTTTTCTACAACAATAATGCTCTCTGGTTATATAGTTCCTCTTTCCAATCTGGAGGCATAATCCTAACATACTAAGAAATCACTGATGATTGTAAGTTGTACGGCGACTACTAGCTCCTTAATATGCAGCCCGTAATATGTTTTCCACTGATCAAATATATGTAAAGCGCATTGAGACGTTGTATAAAGTCGTTATATATGAAAATCTCCCATTATTATTATTATTAGTATTATTATTATTATTAGCAGCAGCAGCAGCAGCAGTAGCAGTAGCGGTAGCAGCACCAGTAGCAGTAGCAGCACCAGTAGCAGTAGCAGTAGCAGCTTTAATAATACAAATATCATGAAAACTATTTTAAAATTAACAAGGAACTATTTTATTTTAAAATCATTATTTTCAAGACGAACATTTAAGAAAAGCTCACCTAATAAAAGTAATTCAAAACCAACTACAATAAAAATACCAAACCTCTTGAAACTCAATCATACCATATGGCGTCTTCTGTGGACCTTTTGAACTCGAAGCACTAAATTCACAATCAAAATATACCCCCACTAACGAGTTGTCGAGGGCCCCAATTATTGCTTTTAAGATTTTAGGACAATGAATCTTTTATCGAGGTCTGAGTTAGTTGAAGTCACAACGGAAGGCAGCTTATCACAGGAAATAAAAACTCATTTATATTCTCTACTCTTTTCCTTACTTTTTTCTCTTTTCCTCTAAAAAAAACATTTATTTTCGAGCCAAATATTTTTTTAGAATTAAAAATAAGTATACGAAAATTATAGAAGATTTCGGTTCGTGAACATTAGCCTAATATGATGCATAAGCTAAATCAGCTGCTGGTCATCAAAAAAAGAAAAGAAAAAAATATTTATTATCGAATTTAAAGATTACAAGTAGCAGAAGAATACAGAACAGGAAACTACATTTGAAAAGAAATTTCAACATTTAAAAAAAAAAACACCTTAAAGAGGAAGTAAACTCGAATTTAAATTTACTTTGAGGAATTTTCATAATGAGGAGAAGACGTTTTTCGAGTAAAGATTCTTAAATTCGTATAGGAAATCGCACGATCTCGAGTACAATTCGGAATTTATAGGTACTGGTGATGTTTTGAATGGTGTCAAAATTGGACGAGCCTTTAGGCGAGCTAAATTTGAG